TTTCCCGACCGAGGGACGCCCTCTCCTTTTCCCCATTGGCCAAGGTACTCAGAAGTTACAGCCTTCCCGGCCGCCTACACCGAACTCCGGCCTCCTGCCATCTGTTCTCACCTGAGCTCACCAACTCCTTTGTCCCCCTTGATGAAGAATGTGGGGGAATTGCCCTATTTCCCTCCTTTGTAAAGGCCCCCACCTCCTTGCAGATGGCTCTTTTTGTCCCACTCCCTCATGGCTCCACTCAGTCTCCCTTCCCTTTGTCCTGCTCTTCAGCCAAACTGTGGAGAAACCCCCTTATTGATGAATACAGAAACTTGAGCATTCTGCTCACCAGTGAGGGACTCGGTGCACGTGTGGGTGCCCGGTGGGGGACTGGCCGTGTGTTTGGATGCCCCAGGGAGGGACGCGCTGTGTGTTTGGGTGCCCTGTGAGGGACTCGCTGCGTGTGTGGGTGCTTACAGAGCATCCAGAGTTACGCCTTTAGAAATTATTGCATGGTTGAACAATTGTAGCTCAAATACCCTTTGCTTCCGACAGTTTTCATGCGGTTAGGATGTCCAACTGTTCTAGCTTAGCTAAACAGGGTATACTGGCTATTTGTTGCATATACTTTGCATTATCTTGAGGTGTGATCAAGCTAACACCACGAATCTCCTATTGATGTTTCTTGGAACAAAAGTATTAATCTGAAATAATGTACTACTGGTCCTTGAATCCATCGCTCTTAGATGCAGAATTCTTGTCTTAAATAATTCTTAAAATGATCCATGAAATGTATTGCAACTTTCTGTGTGTGTTTTTTTGCGAGTCGGTCTCCAGAAAATCATGTTCATTTTTTTTAGGCCATCTTGGGCAAAGTAGCTAAGGAGTGTATCTTAGGAATCACAAATTATGCTTGTGTGAGGTGTATCATCGCTGTAATAGTGCTGCAACTCTGATTTTTGCAGGAGTTCTGTTCTAACACTGTTAAAATGCAGTTAGGTCCTTATGTGTTTTTAGATAAAGATCCAGTAAATTAATCAGTGGTCAATAATGATTACAGTACTCATGTTGGAGTCTGTAAAGCTGTGGACTTTGCTTTATTTTCTTAGCTGCGCCTGACTAAAATGATGTTTTTTAGGTAGACTGCAAGTTCAGCTATTAGGAATGAGATATTCTGCAATTCCACCAAATGGACATAGTTCAGCAAATTGAACTGTCACTGTATTTGTCAGCACAAATAGCCTTAAGACTGAACCAGTTGGAGGAAATTAGCTTAGAAAATTTCCTTAAGGGAGCTTGGATTTCATGAAATACCTTCCTAATTTATGTGTATTTCTAAATATGTCGGGGGTTGGTGTAAATTCCTTCAACTCTGAAATCAAATGGCTCTTTTCTATTTTGCAGAACGTTACTGCTGACATCTAGTGGTAGCTTTTTTGCATGTTCATGGTGACACTACAGAGGTGGCTGAAAGTTACTACCATGAGAAGAAACCGAACTGACTGTTTTTGACATTGGACTTCTCTCAAATTGCACATGATAAGTTAGCAAGATTAATACTGCTGTTGTTTGCTTCATGTGTGAACTTTAATGCTTGTATTCAGATGCACTTGTTTCCTGCTGGCAGGATGTATTTCTTGTTACAAAAATAATATTGATGAAGTGAGAATGTCATCTTGGGATCTACAGGAGGCTTCTTGTACCTCTGTGCCATTCTCCACTTCCTAAAATCTGTGCTCGTACCTTTAGAAACCGTGGTTCATTTTTGTTCATTAATATTGTTCTGCAGCCTTGTCCTTTGAGTCAGATAAAAATGGAGGAGCAGTTTCTTTACTGAGTTCCCTTCCAAAAGCATGAAAAAGCTAAAACTGCCTCTAGGTTTCCTGCTACCAAGATGACCAAGCAGCAAAAGGGCCTCCCTGTTGCCCGAAGAACGGTTTGTGTTCCTGTATCCCTTTGAAACCTAGGGATGAGCTGGTGCTAAGTACACACGAGCCTGGCAGCTACTTGATTTCCCTAGAATAGAAGACCCTCCGAGGGGTCAGTGATCACGAAGCCCTTGTTACAGATGGGCTCCCTCTTGGGTGTCCTCTGCAGCTCTTGCAGCAGCTGCGATGCAGAGCGGCGAGGAGGCAGAGCTGGTCCTTGCTCTTCCTCTGCTGCAGAGGTCGAGCTCTGCGCTCAGCAGCGGCCGCAGCACCCGGCTGCCTGCGGGAAGGACAGGCCTCCTTGGGTTTAATTCCCTCCTGCCCATCCGTGTTTGCCAGCAGCAGGGGAGAGGAGGCTGCCCTGCATGCAGACCTGGCAGAGAAGTGAGGTTTCATCAGTGCATATTTTAAATTCTCTTTTGTGCTCCTTTGTGTACCCCTTTGGAATGGTGAAGGGGCCTTTCCCTGCTTGTCTCAGCTCCCACTGGATTTTTACCAATGTCTCTGCCTAGCTGGCGAGGCTGCTTTCAGGGAGAGGCACTGGCAGGATCTCCCTGGCCGCTTTCGGGTGAGTTTTCCTTGCCGGAGCAGCCCTCATGTGTCCTCTGAAATGGAGCCACACAGCCCTGGGGCCTGCTAAAGCCCCGTTTGGCTTCAGATTTTGATGTCCGTACCTTGGGGTGTCGTTATGGAACGAGAACTGCATGGTGCTTCTGTGTAAAACATCAGCTAGGAATTGTTTTCTCTTTCTGTACATATGTCATGCTGGTTTTATTTCTTGTTTCGTTGTCACTGGGCATTGCGTTGGAGCAGTTAATCTGATGTGCTCTAGGCGGAATCATGTTAATTAAACACATGTTCTAAGTGAGGAAAACGCAGCTTGCTGAGCTGAGGAAGCTTGTTGTCTTGGAGTTAGATTTTTGAGAAGCTGTTGTGGATTTCTCTAAGTCTTGTAAGCTTAGAGTCCTCTATATTGCCCATTTTCTGGTGGGGCTTTACGTAAAGTCTTCCCTATGTGGCAGTCCCTCGTGGCTGAGACTTAATCCACTCTTAAACTGTTTGACAGGTAGACTCCAAATTTGCTGAAGGTACTAGGTGTTATAGTATAATTATTGTGCTGTTTGTTTTGGACAAGTCTGAACTTTTCCCTTAAACTTGTATACCAGTTATCCATTGCGTAAAATATACTTCCTTATGTCATAAGACATATGCTTCTTTCAGTAGCATTTTCAAAAGAACCATGTTGAACAGGCCTATACTGAGACAACAGACTGGCTATTTTTAGAGGATGATTTTTTTTCTTTAGTTAAAACTTCTAGAGGTAAAGGCAAGAATTCAGCAGAGCTTCAAAGTATTTTTTAAAACCTTCATTTTAAGAAAATAAACAGAAAGAAATTTCACCCTGTGAGCACACTGTTCAGAACCTGCAGTGAAGGATTATTTAAGCACTTAAGCCTTCTTAATGAGGTTAGGAC